GGTGAAAAAAAACAAAAAAAAAAAAAAAAAAAAAAAAAAAAAAAATCCCAAAGAGGTTAAAAGGAATGTTTACAAAATGTTTCTTAGTTTTTGCCTATCTGTCCTCTGTAAATGTACTCTATTCATCCAGAGGAGGGGAGGGTTAGTACTTGTAAACTTAAAATTCTCATCAGTAGAGAAAGGCTTCCAAGAGGAAAGGAAAACAAAGGAAAATGGGACTGAAATAAAATCTTGCCAAGTTCAAAGGATTACATGCAGGCATTACATAGAGAGGACATGAAAAACGGGGGGTTGATGAAATCGTCTGCTCGAAAGAAACAAGGCACGCAATAATATGACAAGTCTTCGATAAAGGTACTATAAAATGGTCACAGAAGTCCCATTGGTTTGAAGAGCAAAAATAAAACATGATATCAATTTCAGCCCAGCCTGTTTTAGGAAAGCCATATATATCACCAAGCTTGCAAGATTCTACAAGGCCCAGTTCAAGAAATGACATTCTACTGTCTCAAGAACTATTAGTACAAAGATAGTTCAAAGTCTGAGGTACAAAAATGATGGACTCTGATCAGGTGGTTAGTTTTCTAAGTCATTCGCACCAGAAATTTTTTGGGGGGCTGTAGTACTGAAAGTGTCTGAGTAACAGCTGCTTTAAAATGCAATGTTAGGAAAATAAAAGCCCACTGTCTTAATGTGGCTGAATATTTACCAAGACGGTTACAATTCTGGGCTGGTTTTCTAAAAAGATCCTGGTATAAAACATGATGCTACAGCGGGCCTCATTTCAAAGTATGATACCAGGAGTAAGTTAATGAATTATAGACTAGGCAACTAACTGATGAAGATGTCATTTTAACACGGATGAGAAACAACAAGGAGAGGTGACATCTCTGCATGGATAGTTAATTTTATTTAAGACCTGATATTGCAGCCTGTTAAGTTTCCTCATAACATAAAACTAAGGAACACTGGGTGGTACCCATGAATAATTTATTTCACTTGTGAAAACGGCAGCCCAAGTCGCCTTTGCAGAACCACAGAGAGTGGATTCTCATCTCAGTGGTGCCTGGAAAGAATCACTCATCGAAGATACAGGGAGAAATTCTAATCTCACAGGCATAATGCCAGGTAGTTCTTTTCGTTTTATACCTGTCTCTTGCATACCTCAGAGGAGAATTTTCTGAGATACAGAAGACGTACACATGGGGTGACGGTGGTCAGGGCGGAGGGGCCCTCTGAGAGCCCCCCGTGCCACAGGCTCAACAGAATAGCATCCCCTCTGCAGGCTGCTAGCGCTCTAGAGGAAGGAAAAGGCGCAGACCTGACAGTGTGCGCAACACTGGGGGATTTTAAAGGATATTTTTCTCATTTTTACGCAAGTAAAATTAGAAGTTAGTTTAGATCAGGATATAAAACACCTCCAAGGAGCTGCCCCTTCCGTTATGTAATTCAGATCTGTCTGAGGGAGGGAGGGAGGCTCCTTGGAAAGCAGCTCCAGTTTCACAGTGGCCCTGGGGGAGGACAGCACCCAGTCACCAAGGGGCAAGGGGAGAGTGAGAGCCGCGCCACGAGGTTCGGAGGAGCCAGTAAACTCGTTGCTGCTACTTATCAGAACTGCTCTCTGTGAAATATGGGTTCAGGCCAGATGAAGAAACATATTTCAAAATAAAAACACAAACTGGAGAAGCAGTTACTCTAATAACTCTCAGGACTGGCTGAAACTGACTCTAAATTGTTAATAAAAGTCACTCACTTTAAGACCCTGGGTGCCATACTTCACCTTAAGGGCTTTTTTGGGGATGCTGCTCTGTTGAGCTTCTCAGCATGGAGGTATAGAACAAAAACAGGGGATGTGACCTTAACCAAAAGCCTTAACCTGAGGCTCCAGTCCCAAATCAACTGCAGAGTCCTGCTAAACGGACACGAGCTGATCTTGTTGTGGAGCAGGCAACTGTTATACACAAACAGCTGCCAGGAACCATTGCAGTAAGCAATTCCGGCCATCACGGGGACCGCTCCAAGTCTCCGAGGCTTCAGGAACTCCCTGGTCAGCCCCTTTTGCTGAACAACAGGAACACAAGCAGGCGGCATGCAGAGAGCAGTGAAGGACAATGGGAAAAAAGTTTGAGTGATGCCTTTGCCTTGTGAATAATGAACAGTTCAGGAAGGTCAACCCATTACAACGAAAACTGTTTAATTATTAATTATGCACAATCTATGAGCAAAAGGACAAGTTCAGAATGTTTAATGTATGCTAACTTCAACTGGACTCTCTCTGGGTATTTTGTTATTAGCACTTGTCAGCAAGGTACTCAGGCATAAAAAAAGGCAAGCAGCAGAAAATCCGAGAGAGTGCGTGTGCGTGTGTGTGCGTGTGTGTGTGTACCTGTACACTCAATGAGCTGGGGGGAGGGAGGGGGGAGGAGGCGGTTTAATTCCAATCCCAGCTGCTACTAGTTCACTCGGAGAGTAAGTGTGCCAATAAGTACCCCCTGTGACCTTGAGAGCAGGTAGGCATGCTGAATACTCCAAATACAGAAAACATAAATAAGGAAAATGCTTCTGAAATGCCTTGCTTAAAAGGGTGATCGATATTTTAAAGGTATAGTTTTTTTGAAACTATAATGATTCTTGGCTTTGAAAGGATCCATATTATTAATGTTTACACATACACACAGGTAGAATCTGTACTAAATCAGTGAACTATATCCATGTCAATTTCCTGGTTGTGATATTGTACTATACTTATGAGCTGTTACCATTGGAAAAACTGGGTGAAGGGTACACAGGACCTCCCTGTATTATTTCTTACAACTGTATGT